TATGGGTGAGACTATTCCAAGATAGTTAAAGTGCCCTAGGCTAGTAGTAAATATTATATTCAGTTGCCTTTTGTTTCATTTTTTCAGGCAGAAAATCTGTTTCAGGAACTTCAGGAACATTTTCAAGCTCTGACTGCAACATTAAACATCAGAAATATCCTTTTTTATCTTTCACAAATGCTGCAATGCTTTCCCACTGTTAAACTGTCCTGGAGTATCTTTTTGCTGTCTGCTATTGGTAGCTGATTGTCTACCTAGGGTTTCCCAGTATTTACCTTTGCCATTTTGTGTGGCATCCTGATGTATGAATTACCATGCTCTCCTAGCAGTAGGTTTTACTTCCTGTGTGACCAGCAATAGAGCACATCTGGCATGGCAAGTATAGATTACAGCGAACACAATGTACAGTAGGCCCAGCTACTCCGGAGACCAAGGCTTGAACCCAGGAGTCTGAGGCCAGCCTGGGCAACAAAGCAAGAGCCCCCCTCCCCCGCCTATAAAAAATAAAAAGTAAGTTTATTTCTATTATATTTACATGCGTAGAGTTTGGCTAAAACATACCAGACAGCCTCATATCTGCAAATCTATGTCCAAGCAAGGGGAGCCAACTTTTCACAACTGAGCTCACAGTTCAAAGGTTAAAGGTACATGCTAAGAAAACTTAGGGAAAGTAGCTAATGTGCACTCACTCAAGGCTGTCTTTGAGTCCCTCATTTTACAGGGTGCGTCTGCCATGGCACTTTGTGAGAACCCAGGATGAGCAGATGCAATCGGAAGGAGGGTCTTAGAGGGTGTTTTTGGCTTCTCGGGGCTCCAGCTCTATACACGCAGTTCTCCTCAACATCGTACTGGAAGAAATGGGGCATCGCATTGAGGACTTGCAGAAGAACGTAAACGACTTAATGGTGCAAGCTGGGATTGAAAACTCTGTCAAAGAGCAAATGGTGAGGTCACTGTTAGGAAATTATGTTTGCCTGTCGCATATCTTTTGATGGCTTTCACCTTGAAAAATACAGTCCCACATTTGTTCACTACGGGAATTATTGCCTCTGCGCTACAAGGAAATCTCTAGAAATAACAAAAGACATTCCCAAATGCCCTTTTCTAAATAGACTATCTAAAACACTCTGTCATAATTCCTTTAAAAGCACACATTTTAATGAAAACTGTGTTATTTAAAAATCAGATTTCATTAGAGTACTTTTCACTCTACCCCTTAAGTTAGTCTTCAATCGAAACACGAATCATAACAAGTTAACTACAGAACTGGTAGTTTCTCTTTGAGGTTACATATTCATGTAACTATTTAAAGGATTCATGTGTATATGAAGCCCTGACACATTCCATGACTGGTCCCGAGGACCCCACCCTGGCCACCTGCAACGGAAACATTCCTTTTCTAGTGGAATTTCACGCTTATTCTTGAAGATGCACATAAATGCTGAGTTTCAGGTCTTAGCCTGGATTTATGTCCATGTAACATACATGGAGATATATAACTTTGTGTTTCATTCAAGTATTTATGAATAAATATGAATAATAATGTTATAATATAATATAATATTTATGCATAAATAATATTCTGAATATGCAAACATATTTTAAGTGAACAATTTAAATGCCTTTGTTCACTGAGAATTGTTATCGTAAGTCAGCTGGCAAATTATCCTGTTCAATCAGAGCTAGTTCACTGATCAATGACCTATTAATATCTAAAGCTGGTATTCTGGTAAATAAGATCACTGTAAACCGTGTCCTGCTACAAAGAAGCTGCAAAACATCAAAAGGGCGGGGGTCTCTAAAATTCCATCTGCAAGGTGAAAAAATAGAGCTTTACCTGTTCAGCTCTCTCAGGTCTCACCTGCCCAGAAGCCTTCCAGCCTTCTCCAGGCTGCGTGGATTCTAAGCCTTCACCCTCCCACATCAAATCCAGATCTCTTGAGGCCCAGGCACCCATCCATCCAAAGCTAAGGGATTGAGGGCAGGGACCACGTAGACCTGGCCTCTGCCGTGCACCAGGCCTCAGAGCTTAGCACAGGGCAAGGCACGGCGTAGCGGTCCAGCAACTACCAGAATGAGGATGAACTGCCCAGGCTCCAGCTGGCTGTTTCAAATTAGATCATAAC